TAGTTGCAGTCCGCCTAATATGCCGCTCCTGCCTTATCCTCTTGGTGAAAGTACTCAGTTTGAGGCTACATAATAGATGTGGCCCAGTGGCTACACCCATCTTTTATTTTGTCCTAACCTCACTACTTGACAAAAACTCCTCAGGAACATAATAATAGGCCATATCCAGCCTCCAAATGTCCCAGAATTCTATCATCATCATTTGCTGGAATAACTGGAAAAAGCTCACTAAAAGACTCCACCCCACAGCACCCAGGGGATCATCTGCCATTGACCCAGAAATCCTGTGCCAATGCTCCATCTGTTTAAGAGTGGGACGTACACATTGTTAGACACATGGTATTATATTTTTGGTTGATGAATACTTCATTGAAGGGGAGAAAAGTTTTATTGGCTGATAATAATGGCTTTGTTTTCTTTTGTTTTTTTTCCCCTCTTCTTCCAGGTTTTTGGACAAGAGCATTTAATTGTTTTCTTTACGCATGATTAAAAAAACTGAATAATTTTTGGGTTTTGTTTGTCATAGCCGAACTGTTGTAAAGCTGGAGTTACTGTGGAGAAATACTTTATTTTTCTTAAGAAATATAAGTAAACAAAATCATAACCTAACCTGGAATCAAAAACTGCAATTTTGTTTTCTTTAGATATACTATAATCTTGTTACTATAATGAAGTTAAATAATGAGATGCATTTAAGAGTTGATTAGTAAACATTGGTGCCTGTCCTGACCAGAGTGTTTTACATTAAGATATTAGGTAAAACCAATATTGTAAATTAATGTTTATAAGATTCTGTTGTCTCTCTGCAGGGGCTCACACAACCGTGCACACAGAGTATGGGATGCCCTCCAGTCATTCCCAGCTTATCTGGTTCTTTGTTGTTTACTTCTTTCTTTTCCTTTATTTAAGGTGAGTTATTTTGTTGTTATTTGGGGAAGTTTAATGATAGAAACATAGTTGTGAAATAATTCAAATTGCAGCAGCTACTTGACAAAGTGAATTTAGTCTAGCAGTAGGACTAGTGCAAACATGCAATGTGTATTGTGTGCATCTCAAACAAGCATTTCATTTCTAGTTTTCATCTGGTGCTCAGTTTGGTTATTTGAGGTCATTACAAGAATGGTTTGGGTTATCAGTAATTATTCCACCTTAACTTTAAAATGTGCCAAACTGCTGTATATTATTATTTATTTATTTTCCCCCCGTCAGAATGCATCAAACGAACAATGCTCGATGTGTGGACCTTCTGTGGAGACACATACTGTCCATTATCCTCTTGGGCATAGCCTTATCAGTGTCATACAGCAGGTAAAATCCAATCCCTATCCTCTTCACATATTCCAGATCATTCCTAAAATCTGAAGTTCATAGAAGAGTACTCTAACAAACAGTAATATTAGTACTTGTTTTACTAAAGTTGACCCTCATTATATAGGTCTTATGCATGCACTGTACACCACATCCTTGCCCCTTTTCTTATTAACTGTTTTCTCGGCCCTTGTTATGATAAACAGGCAGGTTATTTATTTTATTTATTTATTTTTGCTGGTTCAGGAGGTTCCCAGCATGTTATGTGATCATTTGTGACACTAGACTACATGCCTGTACTCTGTTTACAGATGCCCATTCAACTCTGCACTTTCATGAGCCGTCTTTATTTGTTGAGTATGTTTAGGACTTTAGTCCATTCATGACTGTTCAGTAGTGTTACAGAGTGAAGCTGCTTCCCTCGCAGGTGATCTTTGGGGAGGAGGGAGAAACGCGTTATTGCAACAGAAGTCGATTTAAAGTCAAGGAAGTTTTGACCTGAATTGGCAACCATTACTGATGTGATGGGGGACGCAAAGCTCAGTGGTTCTGTATTGGCATTTCTGCCAGAAATTACATAAGCAACACTCGATATAATTGTATATTCTTATAGTGCAGAAGCTTTTTATGTTCTCTTATCTATAAATAATTGAGATATTGACTTTTTTTTTTTTTTTTTTTAATTTGATGGTGGCAATTATTTGATGAAATGAAGCATGAGCATGAAGAATGAATGTCAGTAGTGGGTGTAAAACTCAGAGATGACATTTGACCAGGCTGCTCACACTTTGCAAAGAACTTGATTTCATTTGTAACAGCATCACTTTTGCTGAGCTGATAACACTTTGAAATGGTTTGAAATGCATTTTGATTTTTTTTCTTTTCTCTTACTCACTCACTCATTCTTCAGAGTCTATTTGTTGTATCACACCTGGAGCCAGGTTTTCTACGGTGGAGTGGCTGGTAGTACGATTGGCATAATCTGGTTCTTTATTACACAAGAGGTGCTGACACCAATATTCCCCAAAATAGCTGCATGGTAAGTAGTTCTCTCATTTTTCTGCTTCCTTCATGTGTCACAGGGGAGGGCAACTCATCCTCTGCCTGAGTTGCATGAAAATGGTCTAGTATCTATTGTCTAATGTTCATATTTTTCTTTTTTCTTTCTTTTAAACAATTCACAGGCCAATATCAGAGTACTTCCTGGTACGAGACACAAGCCTGATCCCAAACATCTTGTGGTTTGAGTACACAGTGACCAGATCAGAGGCACGGTAAGATACTGTGGTGGTGGCATTTCACTCGCTCTTCTACATCTGTGACTATCGAGGCCTGACTAAAACAGGTTTTCCGCTATTCAGATTTTAGACACTTGGTGATGGTAGCAGCTAACATGTGGGCAAGCCGGTGCTAATTAGACGTGACACATTTAGAGGTCTTCCTGTTTTCTTTTTACTGTGCCGTTAACTGAATGAAAATTTGGTGAAGGAGTGTTGTTCAGCACTTTCAAAGCTAAGTTCAGCTTCAGTAGCGCTGAGAGCTTGAGACAAAAATATTCATGTCACGTTTCTCCCTGCTTAGCAAGACCGTTGATCCATTAAAATATTTGGTGCTTTAAATATGACTGGGTCTCCTAATATTTTGAATTTGCTAATTTTCTTTTCTTTTTTTTTTTCTTTTCTTTTCTTCCAGGAACAGACAACGAAAGCTTGGAACAAAAGTTCAGTGATCTACAAAGTTCATTTGTGAAACTGAGTTTAGGACCACACACGTGCACACAGATACATTCCCATTTACAGACGCAAACAAATGTTCACTCAATCCCTCCCTCCCCCCAACCAAAAAATGGCAAAAAAGTAAACACAAAAACGACACTGGAGAACCATCATCTGGACTGACGTGGTTGCAAAGGAGTAAAGGGCAAAAAAAACAAACACAAAAAAAAATATTTACCGGTGGCAAGAGTGCCTGGACCTGGCCCGGAGCCTACAGCCTGAGCAAGTCCGTCCCCACGCCTCTCCTCCTTGTACAGCTTGCCTAAAAATGCTCTTCAGTGCATGCAAGACTGTGTAAGAGGCATACTATTTAATGATAGATTAATATATATATTTTAACTATAAACTCACGCTGACAGTAACGGTGTGTTGCAAGAGCTTCAAGGAGCCAATTACAGGAGCCTTTGCTCAAGTTTCAAACAGATTGATGGGCGTCATTGCAGCATGTACTTAGTGATTCTTTTTTTTTTTTTTTTCCCTTTAAAAGAAATATTCTGATGGATACTATAGCTGGTGGGGTGGGTGGGTTGATTATGGCTTTGTTGGGGGTGATGTGGAGTCGACCATTTTTCATTGTTATAGACTAGAGAATGAACAGTTTTTAAAATTGGTTATGATGTAGTATAAATATGAATTTGCACTTTGTTAAATTTACAAGTTAAAATAAGACTAACACTAGTTAAGTATCATGAATGACCTTCCCTGTCTTTTTCCCTCATTGGGTTTTGCTTTGTGTCTCTGCCAGTCCTCATAATAATGATATTAGACTCCAAAGCTGATCTGTAAGCAGTGTAAATTTAATGAACCTTCTGAACTAACAAGCTATAAGTTATGGTTTCTGTTCATATCAACCTTTAAGTGGCACAGCAGTGGGTTTGAGTTATTCTCTTTTTTGTTGAACACACTTTGGACCGAGGTGTTTTGTTAATGCCTCTTGCATAGTAGCAGCCTGGGAACAGAATTCTGGGATTTGTAATTTTATTTTCTTTCTTTCTTTCTTCTTCTTTTTTTTTTTTTCCCCCCAGCAAGTTTCAGGTCTTTTCTGCAGTTGCGGAGACCCTTTTTTATTTTTAAATTTTCCTTCTCCCCACTTTTCCCAACACAACATTCCATATCAGATAGTGAGAAAATGAGTGCTGAGGGTGGACTTTTTTTTTTTTTTTTTTTTTTCTCTCTCTCTCAAGACAGGAAAAAATCCTCAGGTCAGTAGTAGCATGTGATTATGCTTATTCCTCAAAGCGTGCGGCAGCTGATGTTGGAGGCTGTCAAGTGAGCGCCGAAGCTGATTTTAAGTGTCACCATTAGCTCCACAAAGGGAAGTAGATCTCTTAGTTTGTTTTGGGTTTTTGTTTTGTTTTGTTTTGGTTTCTTGTTTTTTTTTTTTTTTTCCCCATGTGTAACCTATATCAGGCTGAATAAAAATGTGTTTATGTACAAGTGATGGTCAAATGTCTTACTTTGAAATATAGTGACACCTTGTAATGGCTAACACATTCACTTGACTAGCAAAAGGTTGCTGGTTTGATTCCAGCCCTTTGGGGTTGAGTTAGGAAGGGCAAGGCCAGTGTGAAGTTGCCAAATCAAACATGAACAGCTACCTGCTGTAGTGACCCCACTGTGACCATGGATCAGCGGAAAATGGTTTCTTTGCTTACATATAACATTTCACTTTGTAGCATATTTATTGAGCCAATGCGGCACTAAAAAAAAAAAACAAACACTACTTTTTTTTTTTTTTTTTTTTTTAAAGAAAGTTCAGCTTGGTTATAATTTACAATTTAGACTGCTACATCTTTTCCAGCATTCTCAGAAAAAAAAAGACATCCTCACTTTCCTCACATCAGTTTGCACATTTCCAGCAAGTCTGAAAGTCAATATTTGGTACGACCATCTTTATTCTCCAACATAGCCTGAGCTGTCTCGGGCAACTTTTTTCAGCTTTGTTTCTTAAAGAAGTCTTAAGGAATAGTTTTCCAGGTTTCTTGTTGGGCATTCAAAGCTTTTCTTTTGATTTTGTCTACCTTTTGTTCTTTTCTCTGTTAAAATGATCCTACATTGCTTTAATAATGTTGAGGTCCATGCTCTGGGGAGGCCAATCTGTGACTGGTGGTGGTCCATTGTGTCGCTTCTATCCAGCTATTCTGTTACTGTTTTAGCAGTGTGCCTGGGATCATTGTCATGCTGTAAAATGAAGCCAGTCCCGATGACATGCTTCTCAGATTTTATTGCTGGATAGATTAAAATCTGACAGTATTTATATATTTATTTATGAGTCAACCAGTTTTGAAAGCATCCTTGACACTATCATCAGTGTCATCAGTCTAACATGTTTAAACGAATCACTTGTTTCCCCAGTCCCCCTTACTCTGCTGTAAAATGACAGTGAAACATATTGTTGTGGAAAATATGTTAAAATTCAGTTTTTTGCTTCATTTGCCAGAGACTGGGGAATTTAAACATGTACCGTATGTTAACACGATATGATCCAGTGTTGGTGACAAATCCATGCATCCGTCTGTTTAGTTGAAACAACGAACAAGCTCTCTGTCTTGTTAAGGAAACTTCATGCACTTCTCTTCCTCTATTCCCCAAAGTGACTGCTGAACACTGCTGAGAAAATACTTCAGGCATATCCTCACGACTTGCACGGCTCAAAAGAAACGTCTGCCCTATTTAAACGACCCATTCCATTTTTGATTCACTTTTCAGGTCCTACCTCAGGCTATCCCCAAACACCCATCGGGAACAAGAATAGCCTAAATTATGAAGACTGCAGTCTATTTCTGTTCCTTCAAGCTATTACTTCTGTGTTGCACTGTTCAGTTAAGCAGCAAGCACTCCTGAAGAAAAAACCCTTTGGATGTGATTCAGAGGAATGGCTCAGAGCTGTTTGGTCAGTCTCCACTCCAAATATGTCAGATGTTTAATTCTGGTTTTTCATAGTTCATCAAAAAATGAAGGCATCAAACTCTTGAATTAAGAGTCACAGAGGTACCTTGAACTTAAAGAAATGTAAATCAAAACAGAAACCTCTCGGCACTATTGTGTTCAACACAGCCAGACTTCTGTTTTTTAAGCGGTCAATAATGTTAAACGTATGACCAGCTATCTCAAACAGGAGAAAGATAAAATTGTTTCTTTTAGGAAGAAAAAGCAGGTTGGGCCTATTTATTAAAGGGGAAATGAGATGATGCAAAAATAATTATTCATCTTAAGTTTGTTTCCTGTTTTGTTTTTAAAACCTCACCATCTCCACTTCCTGCCCTTGTGTACTTTTCCAGTTAGCACTCCCACCTTTGTGTATTTAGTCTACATGTTCACTTTTTACCACAATTATTTCTTGTCAGATGCCCTGCCTTTGTACTGACAGGATCATCAAACTGTTTATTAAACCACATTGAAAGTAATGATTGAGTTTTAAACTTTTTTCATCCTACTAAACCAGGGGTCGGCAACCTGCGGCTCTTTTGTCCTTATACTGCGGCTC